ATTATTTTAAATATCCATATTTTTGAAGCACAACTGAAGTGAATAAAATAAACATTCTCTGTGCTTAACATTATAACATTTATACAAACATAATTGCCCTCCTGAGCATTATAATATATTCAATACATTGTGTCTTTGACAATATATGTGTATATGTATAGACAATTTAGTTTCCCAGTAGCTATATACTATCTCTGCACATTACAGTAGCTATATCTAAAGAGAGAAATCCATAAATTATAGTCATATTTTCATTTCACCTGCTTTTTAAAATAAGACATTAAAATCTTGAACATATTCCTATGTTGCATTAAAAATAGGAATGTAGTTTTTACTAAATTCTAGAATTTAACATTTCAACCTGAGAGGACAAGCTTGCCAATCTTTCAAGTACTTATAATTAAGGAATGAATATTTAATTAGCCAAAAGAATAAAAAAATGTGAAATCATTCCTCTTCTAAATATCATTTATCAATCAAAGGTTTGTAATAATATTCATTTTAGATGACATATATAAAACTAGAAATTTTCAAAAAATAAAAACTATCTACCATATATTTTATAAATACATGAATATATTTGAAGGTGAGAGAAATATAGAAACTAAAAATAAAAACTATCTACCATATATTTTATAAATACATGAATATATTTGAAGGTGAGAGAAATATAGAAAGTTATACATATAAGAAAAAATATAGCATTAACTTCATCTCTCCAAGATTTCAACAAAACACAATCTTCCAGTAGTGCCCTCCAAAATATTCCTTAATTTCATTTTTGAAAGTGAAGCTAAAATTTCAGTTAATTTTAATTTTAAGAATTCCCATTATCTTATTTGAAGGGATTTTAAAACTGACAAATTTGAACACTAGATAAGAGTTAATTTTTATAGTTAGTGACATGTTCTGTCAATTTCCCCTATTTCTTCATGATTCGCAGTATACTTCAGCGTAAAAATATATATATATACACATATATATATGTATATATATATACACACACATATATATATTTATTTGTTTCAAATTCTAAAATACTTTTAAAGAACAAAATCTCATAGCAAAATAGTAGAAGGAAAAGAAATTCTTGCCTCACTCCAGGCAGTTCTGTCTTATTCCTGAACACTGTTAAGTCCCTGTAAATGAAGAATAGTTATTGTCTGCACTATGACAAGACCAGCACTTCTCTTGCAAACAGCACTTCTTCACTGTGAACAACAGAAACAGGAATATCAGCTTGTTCCTTTTACTTTCTAAAATCCTGCATGAGTAGCCATTAGGAAATAATGATATCCTAGGTCACAATTATGGGCCCTTCAACAACAGATTTTTGTCTTAACTATGTTGTTTATTTTAAGAAAATTTGACCGAAGCAAACTACAATAAATTTCTTAGGGGGAAAAAATGTAGAGTTGTCCCAGAGGCCAACTCTTGCCTAACCCATACGTACCCTGGTGGCAGACTCCAGAGCTAAATGCAAACTCCACATAGAATAATAACCTTATGACTCTTGTAGTACCAGGAGCCAGCCCGCAGGGCTTCCTCTCTCCCCTTTGCACTTCCAAACTCACAGTTTTCATCTAAGAGTAGTGTGGGAACCACTAAATCCGCAGACCAGAGGGATCATTTCCATTTTCCAAATTCAAGGGACTGTTCAAAAAAAATGTTTCCATGGAGTCCGGTAAGAGCCATAAGGGAAGACACCATACTATATCCCAGTCCAACATCTTTAATAACACTCAATACCACTTAAAAGAAGTTAAAATTGTTGATGTAATGCATAGTAAAATATACATGAAGTATTTAAAAATTAAAGATCAAAACATAGCAAATCTACTTACATCATGGGAGAAGTGAATTGATTTTGCTATTAAATTTCTCTCAAGCAGACAAGATTTCCTAATAAAAATGTGTTGACTTTTTTTTTTCTTGTAAAAATAAAGACCTGAAATTTTTTCAGCTCTTTTGATTGTATAGAAACTAAATGGACAGCATTTTACTTATTGAAAAATTATGCTAATCTGCTCAGTTATGATATAGTAAATAAGATCTCTCATATTGCTTTTAGCATATATATATACTTACGATTGTTTTCATGAAAATAAGCCTAAAGCTATTTATTTTATTCATTAAATTAAAGTCTGAAATTCTTGAAAGATAATTTATTCTAGTAAACTTGGCCTTTAGGCAAATTTCTTATAAATTTGTCTTGCCTATTCATGCTTCTTAAATAAAATTTGACATTCCAAGAAAAGAGAAAAATGACAATTTTTTAGAACAAATCATATTTAAGAATGTTTCTACCTTTTTACTTTTATAATTAAGTTTTAAATAAACAGCAAAAATTAACCTATTAAATGCAGAGATGCAATTTATTAAACATAAAATAACAAAAGGTTATATAAAATTACCTGGCCCTCTGGTAGTTAAAGACAATCTCATACCCTAATATGCATTTCTGTTACTTAAATAGTTACCGATTTTTAGCAATATCACCAAAAGCTTTCAATAGCTTCAATTCATCTTAAAATCTAAATATTCCAGGTTTCCCAATCTTTTGAATTGAATATGCTCCATCTTTATCAATTTATCTAAGAATATGTAAAAAGTCTGTATCTCTGTCTTTGAAGGCAGCAGAAATTTTCAGCTATACTGAGGGCCTGTTAGTAATTGTACAACTTGCTCTTACCTACAAATACTGCTATTCAAAAAACCAGGCTAGATTCATCATGATCTTCAGACATCTTCTTATTTGGAGAAATGTAGTTTTGACATTAAAAGATGATAAGTCATAAGAAAGCTTCCCAGTTTAAAAATTTCAATAACTCAAACTTAACATTTGTGTTTGAAGTCTTCTTCACTGAGTCTGGCTTACCTTTATCAGCATCTGTTTGACAACCACTACCCTCTGTTTGACTCAGGCTTTTCTATTCACTGCCCATTTACCTCTAAAATGCATTTTCTGTATTGTACACACTATCATTTTCATGAGAAATAATTATATAACTTCTAGTGGGTAGCTGCAACCTTCTAATTCAACCAGTTCAAACCACATTTCTTGTACTAAAATGTATATCAAAAATTTTTTCTTCAACAAGTTCATATGAATAAATCCCATGTCAGAATAAAATCACATTCTAAACCATCTTAACACAATGTAAAATTAATAGCATCTTAAAATCTAACATTTTAACATTTATATAAAAATATCATCAATTCATCATGTACTACATTTAACTCAACTTAAATTTTATTCTGATTTATTGTATTTATTTTATTTAGTAAGTATGGCTTTAAAAATTAATCAGCTATGTGTGCAAACAAAGCAAATTATTTAAATACATTGACATTAATATACTTATTAAAAAGGAATATTAACAGAAGTTATATCCTATGTTGAACAAAAGCAATAAATTTGTTTGAAAAGCAATGTAATACAGATATTTTCATTCTAGTCATATACAGAGTAGCTAATGCTTTATAAAAGGGAAAAATAAATTAAGCTATTTTATTGTAGCAATAAGAAATTTTATGGAAGAGATGACTAAAATAAGAAAAATATCATGTATTTTTCATTTTGCTCCTTAATTTTATAACTCATTAATTTTATTTCTGAACATATTGAGACATAGTTGAGTTGTGGTCTTAGCTGATCCTTAAACATCCAATTAATATTCCCCAGTTGATTATTTACCACACCTACCTGCCTGCACTTTGATATACTGAACTGATATTCTCATGAAAACCACATAAAGGGATGGGGTTGTAACTTAGTGATAGAGTGCTTGCCTAGCATTCATGAGGCACTGGGTTCAATTCTCAGCACCACATACAAATAAATAAAATAACAACTAAAACTTTTTTTAAAAAAGACATGAAGGTGCAGGGGAAAACTCAGGCAAATATTTCTTCAAGTCATATTTTTAAAAATTTACCTATAACTACCCAGATAAAAGCAATTGAGATTTTATGCTGTAGACATTTTTCATAAAACTTAATAATTATGTATGTTCACACTTAAGTAAAACCATGGGTCAGAATATTGGAGAACCCAAAAGAACCCTATAAATTTAGGCATGTGTTTAACGACAACTTTAGTAATATAACTGTTTCTCTAGTCCAACTCAAAAATATGCCCAAGATAACCTCCAAAACAAATTATAAAGGTTAGAAAAAGATAAAACTTTACTTTATGCCAAAATAATATGCAAATATAAGGAAATATACCTAGTCACATTTACCATTATCACTAAAATAGGCAAATTACACAGAACTGGTCCTTAGTTCCAAAGCTCAAGCACATTTACCTTGAAAAGCAGCTGCATTTCGAGATATTAGCAGCTTTAATGTAGAGGTGGATGCTTGAAGCACCTGCTGCAGATCTTGGCGAGCTGCAATTTGGTATCTCTCCTCCATCTTCCTTGTGCAACATGTTGGCTTTTTAGATATGCAAACCTGAAGATCAGGTCCTGAAACATATATAAGATTTTCCAGAATGATTATCTATCCATTAAAAAAATATTACATGTTATATGTCATGCATTATAAGTCCTACATACAAGGGGTTCATATTTTTTATTAAATTATTCAGTTATTATAATTTGTTATACATGATGGCAGAATGCAATTCATTTCATATTACATACACAGAGCACAATTTTTCAAGACACTGGTTGTATACAAAGTATTTTCACACCATTCGTGTCTTATACATGTACTTAGGGTAATGATATCTAACTCATTCCACCATCATTCTTACCCCCTTACCCCCTCCCTTCCCTGTACCCTATCTAAATTTCCTCCATTCTTCCCATGCTCCCCCCACCATTGCCATTATGAGTCAGCATCCTTATATCAGGCCTTTGGTTTTTCAGGATTAGCTTACTTCATTTAGGGTGATATTTTTCAACTCCATCCATTACCTGAAAATGCCATGATTTTATTCTCTTTTAATGCTGAGTAATGTTCCATTGTGTATATATGCCAAAGTTTCCCTATCCATTCATCTACTGAAGGGTATTTGGGTTGATTCCACAATGTAGCTATTGTGAATTGTGCTGCTATAAACACTGATATGGCTGTATCCCTGTAGTATGCTATTTTTAAGTCCTTGGGGAAGTGGTTAATATTCTATGTGAGGAATTGATTTACCAAAACAACTTACTGTAAGAAAAATTCTCTATCATCCATTAATATAACCATGAAAGAAAATTCCAAACCACTAACTCTTTGCTCAATAATTTAAATACTTGATCCAATATTAATTATGTCTACTCAATATGTGGCAAATTAACTACTACATAAGCAATAGATCAGAAAGAGTTAATTTTTGCTTATTTTATCAATTTGGCCAAACTTATTTAAACTAAATATGTAATAGAAAATCATACAGGCTAAATGGTTTTCTTCATGAGGAAGTGAAATCAAATTTTGTGCATCAAATAAAGGTCAAAGAACATCATCTGATTTCTCAACTCCCACGATGCTTGTGCTTCTTGAGGAATAAAATATCCTCTGCAATAAAATGACAGTAGATTGAAATCCCCCGTGGGCCCAAATCCAAGATCCAAGACTCTACACACTATATATCTGTCTAGAGGCAATTCCTACCATTAAATCACTTTTGGGTTGTATAATCATACTTAGAAAACCCAGTGAGGATGAATGTTACATTAAATGTAAAGTCATTACACATACTTGTACTTAAAAAATAATTTTCTAACATGATAAACAATTCTCATCCTGGATAGAGATGCTAAGAAAACACCTGAATACACAGCACATGTGATAGAAGACAAAGAGGAAAAGGTATGACACAGGGGACAGTTAGCCTCTGAAGAGGGAACCAACCCCTAATGGAACACCACAATGTGCAGGCATCCCAAGCCTACAAGTTGTTTTCTAATACTCGTGACAAGTTTATTTACAGGCCCTGAAACAGTTATTCCCTAATTTCAGAACAGGAAGAAGTGCTGTGGCCCTTGGTGTCTGAGGAGTCTCACAGCTCCCACATTAGCTCTACATAGACTGATTTTAGATCAGCGAAAGTAAAATATGCCTGTGCACGCACACAAATGCATACATGTGACAGCCTTCACACTGTTCAAGCTCTTCCTATTTCTTCACACAGTCAGCCTGAGGTTTTACATTTCCAAAAGTTGGTTCTGGATAAGATCAAAACATTTGAAATCACTCTGAGCTTCCTGCCAACATAAGACACCAACATTTCTAATAATTTCAGCTTTGGTTTGTTGAAGATAGACAACAACTGACAGCATTTGAGCATTTTACAAAGGCTAAGAAGCATAAAATATTTATAAGTGTCACAGTAGGTAACATGTTGGCAATTGTTTTTCATTTATCTTACCTAAAGTTATACAAAAGCTAATTCTATTTCAAATAGTAAAATTGATTGAAAGAAACAAAGCTATCTTCTCAGTTTTATTCCTAAATGGAAGGATTGAGGAATTAGCATTCAGAGAAGAGCAACAATAGAGACTGGGGAAAAGAACCAAATGAATAAATATTGAGGTGTACAAATCTATTTAGTGTGGGAATAACTACTAGGGGATTTTAAAATAATAATAACAATAATAATGTCTCACTGCAAATATGCCTACTGAGGTCAAATATCTAACACTGTTTGGCTAGATTATATTCAAAAACATGGTCTATAAAGGACCCCTGAGATGTGACCCTTCTTCCCACTCCCTCTCCAGAAACAGAGGCCTCAATACTCTTCCTTTCACAGGCAGGCCCATTTCAGTTCTTCATATTCACAATGCCACAGAGTCATTCCCCAATACTTTCTTCTATCTGGGGCACTCTTGTCCAGCTATGTTCACCCACACATGCACCAAACACCTACCATCACCTAGTTCATTACTATCCATTTTTTTAAGATTCCCCACTCTGTCTTCCCTAGAGAAACTTTCTGTAAACTCCCAGTTAACACAAGTCCAGATAACATGACATTAGGGCCACATATCTCTCCACTGCACATATCATCTTTGTAATTTTATATTCTTTCAGGTGATTCTAATTAATTTGTTCCCTCACCAATACTTTAAGTTCCAATCAGGGAACCATTTTGCTTGCTTTTATATTCCAGTTGCACAGAACATTGCCTAATACATGCTAAACACGCAATAATGCATATGTATTATCTAATTTAATCATCACTATGATATTACTGCCACATTTACACATGAGGAGATGAACACATAAAGAGGCTATCCAGTGTCAGGGTTGGGTACAATGTAGCTCAATGGTAGAGTGCTTGTCCAGCATGCAAAAGGACCTGGGTTCAATCCACAATACTGCAAAAGAAAAGAAATGGATAAAGAAAAGGAAAAATGAAAACTGTCCAGATTACAAAATGGTAGAGCTGGTGTTTGTGAAACAGGCAAACTAACTCAGAAGAACTATGTTCTTCACCATTATTCCACAAGAGGAAAGAAAGTCTTAAATCTATAAATGGATTGTTTATAGACATAACTAGCCATCTCCTATTCCTGTTCTGAAAGAAGGCATCTGTTTAGTAAGTTGCAAGAAAATAAATTTTAGGTTAGGAACTATCCAAGGAGATTTATCAAAATAAAATAGACTAAAATACAAAGCTATAGACTTGCCATTTGCTTCTTTGCCCAATTTTAAGTGGTAGAAAATACATTAGAAAGATGCAACAAATTGCCTCTACTGCTATCCTAAATATCGTGTAGGAGAAAAACCATTATGCCTCAGCAACTCTGAGTAAGCAAACATAGCAATTTAGACCACTTAGCCAAAGTACATTCCTCAAGTTGATGAGGGTCTGCACTGATTAATTCAGACTTTCATTTAGAATCTTAGAAGTTTGTAGTGACAAGATAAAACTAAATTCCAAACCCAAATCAGAGCTATAGCACCATAACTAGGCAATACTTACCTATTAGGCACGATATTTTTCATTAATATCACCTACAAGATATGCTTAAATAACTTAGAATTCGGGTGCCAGTAGAGAAGGAAAATAGTTGGCAAAAAAGATTCCAGTTCCCTTTGTTCCTTCCTCTATCAGTCCAAGAGACAGATAAGATGGACTAAACCTTCAGGGAAAGGACCATGTCTTACTTGTTTCTAGAATAAGCACAAAGGACATAAGATGCTTGTTGATTAAAAAAAAAAAAAAGCCCAGACTGCAGTTTTCCTGTTGTAAGTAAAACAGGCATCATAAGAAAGCAAAGCCAGAATTAACCCATAACATACCACATGGCAATAAGAGATATTTTAAAAATGATTTCAAAGCTTGGCTTTAAGAAACATGGCATAATTTCAGGATGATATGAAAAAGTGAGAGTGCCCACGCTCTAGGGCAGCTGTCAAGTTTCTGAACAATAAAATCAAACTTTGCAAGAAATACTAAAAACAAAATAAAATAGTGTTCCTCCAGTCAGAAGCCTTCAACAAAAATCATTGGTGCTTTCTGGATTTCTTACTTAGAAGCAGCAGTATTGTTTAATAACTACTCCTTTCTGTTCTCCAGCATAAGAAACCTGAAGCCATCTACCTGCTGGTATGTTTAGTGTGCTAAAGTAGGAACATTTTAACAGGGAGGCATTCTGAAAAGACGGTGGCAAGGGCAGCATGGTTTTCACTATCTCCAAATCCTCATATAAAACCAGACTGAACTACAAAACAAATCCACAATAAACTACTACAAAACTAGTTAACATGATAGCAATATCCCCCCCAAAACTTCAAAATACAAACAGAATGGAACAGACCAGCAATAGCCACAAGATCTTCACAATATAAGTATTTGGACAAGAGGGAAAAGAAGGAAGCAATGAAGGAAGGTCTGAAGGACCTGAGAACAAGAGAAACCCAAAGTATTGAATAGAATTCACAGGAAGGCAGAGCAGACTGATTTGGGAATAGCAGTGGGGCTGGAAGAATTCTGCCCTCTCAATTATTGAATGTGTGTGATGGATCAATAAGAGAAACAAATAAGTGAACAACGGGCAACAAGTCTCCCTTCCAAGACAGATCCTACACAGAAGAGAAACTTCTAGAAGTGGAAATAGAATTCAACAGAGCAGGGAATAAACAGACATAGAAAAAGAAGGTCTAGACCAAAGCAGAAAGGGAAACAAATGCAGGAAATGCCAGGAAACAAGCATCCATGTTTTTGAATGCCAAATGAAAACATCAGAAGAGGAAATCCAGTCAAGTTAGAACAGCTATTCTGAAGCACGTCTCAACTGAAATGTTCAGAAAAACTAACTTCACATAAAACAAACAACAACAAATATTGGGGTCAAATCTCACACAGAGTCATAATAAAAAAGAGAAGAATAGAATAACATCCCTACACAGAAAGAAAACATGCCATTGAAAGACATACAACAAAAAACATCAGAAACTTAGCTACACTATTCAAAACAAACCAAAAGATAACAACACAAGACATGAAAGAACTACATAAATC